GTTGAAAAGCTCTCTCAAATGGCCTGTTATCTATATACCCTGTAATCGGGGAAAATGGGCCAGAGGCAGCTTTGGATGTCATTTATTTGAAATTATCGACGAGAGCAAAAAAATCGATAAATAGATATATATATATATATCCTATATACCCTGTAATCATTGAAAATGGGTAAGAGGCAGCTTCACATGAAATTTTTTAAAAAAATTTTTTTTTTAAAAGTATCGATATGTATCGAAACGTTTCTTGAACATATATCGATGAAAACAAGATCGAAACACACCAAAGCTTGGCATGTGCAGATATATAGATATAGATATCAGATATTACAATCAAGACAGATCAAGAAACTTTTACCTTTTTAAGCGGACAATAAAAAGAAGAGTTTGTAATAATAACATTTTTCTGGTATAGAGCTCAGATAATAGATGAACATAAGAGTTAATACGAATGTGCAGGGTATCTGCTAGTCGGTGACTCTCCGACTAACTTTTTATTATATTTCTTATATGTATTTCTTTACTACATTTAGTTAATCATAAGTGCAGCTTCACGCAAGTGCCATCGGTTGGTCATAAACGGTTAAAAGCCGCTTTATATTTATTATATCTTAAGCTATAATTAAACATGCATTGCCGCTTATCTGAACAAACCCCAATTACAGCTGGTGCCCCGCACCCCCCCCCCCCCCCCTCTCACACACACAACGTAATTACTCACCATAAATTTCTCTTAAGGGTCTTCGGGGTCAGCTCCAGTCACAATTCGGCCCAGGAGTAAGCGCCTTATGAAAATAATAAAAAGAAAAAACGGAAGAAATCGCCATTAAATGCAAGCCAAAAGTGTGGCCAGCTACTTTTTTTCCCTTTTTGTGTCCTTTTTGTGTCATTTTCGCTGTGCAGTATTTATTTGTATGCCAACTGCAATGCCCATTGATAAGAGCGAGTCGTAGGGGATGGGGGCGGGGGGAAGGGGCGGGTTGGGGATGGCGACAGCGGAAATTTATGGTCGTCACATAAAACGCATAATCAGCAAACGAATGTGTGCCGCACAAAAGTGCCGGATTAACCGAATGACCGGACAGACAGACAGACAGACAGAGGGACGGACGAACGAACTACTGACTGCCGTTGCCACGCCTCCTTCTGCTCCTCCCTGTCCAGCAACTCCTCCTGTTAAAATGATTGCGCACTTGACGAATGTGCAACATTCGACGATATCAGAGGCGAGCATAAATATATATATGTACATATATTTATTTATATATCTACATGTATATATTTCTTTGTTCGCATACTTATGTAAGTGAGTGTGATACCCTGCAATTAAAAGCATATAATTTATTTATGGGGCCAACTGAATGCTTAAGTATTTGTTAAGAGGAAATATGTTGGATGACTCCAATAGAAATATACATATTGTAAGATTAGAAAAACTTTGAATTTGATTTGAACGCTGTTAAAATAAGTTATCGATAACTTGGCATGTGTAACTCTGATAAATGTAATTTATATATCGATACAAATCGAAGGAGTGTTTCGATATTTCAATAAGCAAGCGATTACTTTTTGAAAGGATTTCGATTTATTATTATAAATTTTATTTAATTAAACTTTCAAGAGCATCCGAATTTATCAAATGCAACTACTAACTATATAAACATATACATATGCCCTGCTGTAGGGTATGCTGTAGGGTATCCAACAGGAATATACATATTATACATTCAAAAGCATCCGAATTCAACAGACACAACTACTGATTCCACTATGCTCAAAATACATACATATGTAACATTTACACATTTCACATTCTGCTATTTCATTAGCAAGTTACTCGTGGCGTATACCAACCTTTTTTTTGGAAATGTGAAAAATGTGAGAAATGTACAAAATGTTGTTTCGTACAGGCAACATGTTTCACAGAAGCAAAAAATGTAACATAAGCAAAAAATGTTACATTTGCAAAAAATGTAAGAAATGTTCACAGTGGAATTAGGCTACAACTGCGCACATGAATGCATATGCCCTGCTGTAGGGTATGCATTGTTCCTTTCTTGCATGGTTTATGTGCCAACGGAAGCAGAGTTGATGGGAATGCAAATGCTTTGGCTGTGACTGCATGGACTGCACCTTAAAAGGCGACCAAGTGCCGGAGGAGCATGAGTCACGGTCGCTAAATTAGATTCCTCCAAGTGCAATGTCTGCACTTTGCACCTATTTCACTGTCAATTGATTAAGGGGGGCGGGGCGGGGCATAGCTGGCTGTTAATTAAAGCCCTGCAAATGGCATTCGGTTGGCCTTTTGACTTGGCATTGATGAGGCAGCGCGTTGCGGCGGCTAATTAAGTTTGCAACAGGGGGGGGGAGAGGAGCCTTGGGAGAGGCAACCCGGCATGAGTCACGTTGATAACAGTTAAATTGATTTTGATTGCTTTATTTGATGATCATAAATCAAAGGCGCATAGAGAACTGTGCGACGCGGCGGCGGCGGTGGCGGCACGTGGGCTGCCTTTTTTCAAAAGCAAAGTGAAAAACTTGCCACAGATGCCACGCAAGAGATATCGGAGTCGACTCCGAAGTGGCCACTGCCCACTTGACTGCAGCTCCAAACTGTCCGGACAGCTAGACAGCCGGGCAAACGGACAGCTGGACACGAAACGAAACATTTTGTGCGATTTGCTTGTAAGTTTGTTATACCCTGTAGCCGGTGCACGATGGGATATTATGGTTTTGTGCTAATTTATGTAACTGACAGTATCAGGAGCAGAGCTGATAGAAGCATGCCCCAAAAACTCGCCAGCCTTTCAATAACCTCTCCTTTTTTTCGTAATCGATAATTATCGATTTTCAGAGCTAGTTTTTTTTTATCACATTTCGGAGAGTATAGAACTGGCAAAAGGCCCAAAAGCAAATGAATTTAGATTTTGATCAGCATTCAGAGCCGAGATGCCCCACAACCTTTAAACTTATCCATAGCCTTTCCTTCTTTGCGAAATCGATAAATATCGATTTGCTGACGAGCGTTTTCTATCACATTTCGTAGGTTATGAAACTGACAAGAGGCCCAAAAGCAAATTTATTTCGTTTTTGATCAGCATCAAGAGCCGAGGAGATGGAGCCTATCCCACAACGTTTCAAATTATCGATAACCTTTCCATCTTTGCGAAATCGATAAATATCGATTGGCAGACGACGGTTTTTATTATTGGGAGATTATAAGAGCTGGAGAACCTACAGGTTCTCGTAAATATTTTACTTTTTGGGGAAGGTTTCCCTATTCCAAATCGAACTCTAAATCTGAATCTTTCTTGCCTTGCTACAGGGTATCTCCTAGTCGCACACTCTCACTTGCTTTGTGGCACTCATTTATTAGACGCTAGTTTGCAGCAGTTGCCGCTGAAAAGAGTTGAGCGTTAGACTTGGCCAAAAAAAAAACTGGATTGCTAGCATCTGGTTGAGTGGACGCGCAGCCAAGTCAAAGCACAGTCGGAGCTGGAGCTGGAGACGGAGCTGGAGACGGAGACGGAGCTGGAGACGGAGCCGAAGCCATTGCCCACTCGAATGCCTGCAAGTGGCAATTTTATCAAATTATTTGCACTTAACTCGCAAATTCAATTTGAAATAACGAGCAAATTGTTGTTGCCCGTTGTTAGCAATCGAACATGTGAGCACGCTAACCACACTCCACATTCGCCCGACATGCCAAATAGGATCTGGGGATGGGATATATCTATTGCATGCAGACTCCTTGCAGGTGCAACACTCAAAGAGGTATCTTTTGTCAGCTGGACAACACATTTTGGGTCACGTCAATAACTGCCGCAGGGTGGCAACGCTGTCAGGCTAACAATTCTGATTGGGACATAAAATAATATAAATTCCACTGAATGAAATTACATTCCACTTAGTGAATATACATTCCACTGAATGAATATACATTCCTCTGAATGAAATTACATTCCACTGTCAGGCTAACAATTCCAATTGGGACATAACCAGCGAACAGTGGTGCCCATTTTCTAGCAAGAGTGTGGCCATTCTAATACGTTAAGTTGGCTGCGACTGAACATTTAAGTACATATTAAGGGGAATTTAGTGTAAAATATTGCTTATAGCTAAAAAATTGATGTTAAACAAATGATGAGAAAATTTGATATCTTTGTCAGCTGGACAACAAATTTTTGGGTCACGTCAATAACTGCCGCAGGGTGGCAACGCTGTCAGACATGACCAGCGAATAGTGGTGCCCATTTTCTAGCAAGAGTGTGGCCATTCTCATGCGTTAAGTTGGCTGCGACTGAACATTTTAGTACATATTAAGTCGAATTTAGCGTAAAATATTGCCTTTAGCTAGAAATTTGGTGATTGGTAAAAGATGAGAAAATGTTTAAAAAACCATTTCATATTTGAATTAATATTTGTATAACCACTCCAAAAATCAAACTAATTATATTTTTACCCTACAAAAGTTGTTGTAAACTTTAAGAAAATGTTAACTAATTTCCTTATATTTTTATAAAACATTTAATTTCTAACTCATCAAACGTGTTACGGAACCTCTTGAAAAATGTATTTATAGCTTATTTTGGGCTGTTTATCAGCTGCCTTTCAATTTCGACACATTTCATACAGTTTCGAATCAGTGTGCGTTGGATTTTTTGATTGCATTATTGGCTCTGTGTTGTGTACTTAGCTCTGCCCATTGAACCACTTGGAGATTTCTTGTATGTGCTTGTGTTGCAATAATCCGCTCCAGATAAGAGGCCGGGCCGGGCCGGGCCAGCTGGCTGGCTGGCTGGCAATAATAATTTTGACACTTCTTGGGGGTGCCGGCGTCGATTATGGGCATTGGGAAAGATTTCGATACGATCGACAGCCCACGCTCCAATCGGAGCTGGTCGAGCAGGTTTTTAGCCACGGCAGACACCGCGGCTGCAGTTGAAGGCTGTCAGTTTTCTCATATTAATAAAGTGCTCTCATTTCTGTTTCTTTTCTTTCAGGCAAAACGAGAAGGACTGCGATGAGGATGACAAGGACGATGTGCACGATATTATGCCGCCAGCCAATTATATACAAATTTCGCAGGGCAAAATCCAGCTGGTGCACCAGGCGCGCTCCTTGGAGCACGAACCGGGGCTCAGCTTGGAGCGCGCCAGCGACAAGGTAAGCCCTAAAAAAAACCCACCTGGTGCCGGTTCGAAACTTGCTTTTGGTAGCAGACCCCATACAGACATTTTATAGTCCACATACCTCACATTATTGTCATTTCGATAACCCTGCCCACCAACAGTTCGACTAACCTAACATTTGACTAGCTGAAAAGCCACTTTTCCGCCTGGGAAAAGCGCAGCCGAGTTTGGGTTTTTGTCCGCGTAGCGTGCGCAAAACTTTGCATGCAAAAGCCTGTGAAACAAACACCTTTGAACTCTGAAGCCGAGTGGAAACACTTGAACTCGTTAACGTGCCATTTAAGACACATCACGCCAGGCCTCAGTGCAGGCAATGCACTTTTGACATGCAGTTTATCCTGCTGGTAAAGTTCAACTATGAAAGTCGCTAGCTTAAACAAGACTTTTGCATTTAATTCCTTCATGTGTTTCACTAATAAATCTCTCTATCTCTATCTGCTGCGTCCATCTGCCAAGAATGTTGCCGATAACCCACATGATATGTTGGCCACATTTTAAGGTTTAGTTTGCGCTCATCATTCTCATCATTTGGCGTGATTTGATCTCGAGGAAGATTTATGACAACTCTGGAGAAAACTGCGGTTCGCTTTCATCTCTTGCCCAAAGCTGGGCAATTATATTAATGCTTTACATAGATTTTAACATTCTCAGATTTAGGTTATGCTTAACATTCATAACATTTTGAATTACTTACACATCTACGCTGGCTTGAGAATATTTATGATAACCTACATAAGCTTAATTTGAAGCGTGTCTCCTTAATTCATTATAGTGTGAATCTTTAGGGCTAAGGGAATGAATATACATTCCACTGAGTGAATATACATTCCACTGAATGAATATAAATTCCACTGAATGAATATAGATTCCACTGAATGAATATGCATTCCACTGAATGAATATACATTCCACTGAATGAATGTAGATTCCACTGAGTGAATATACATTCCACTAAGTGAATATACATTCCACTGAATGAATGTTCATTCCACTAAATGAACATACATTCCACTGAATGAATATGCATTCCATTGAATGAAATTACATTCCACTGAATGAATATACATTCCTCCGAATGAATATAAATTCCACTAAGTGAATATACATTCCACTGAATGAATATACATTCCACTAGAGTCATTTGCAGCTACATTCGGCCCTGCCTTATAACATACCACCAGGGGACAGATGGAAGTTAAACCAGCGGGTGCGGGAAAAGTGGTCAATCGCACATTCTAGTAATTCATTTGCAATTGTAAGGCCTGTAACAGGTTGATTCATTCACAATGATTCAGTTGATTCATTTGATTCATTTGTGTGCACTCCACATCATTCGAGCTACTGCAACTGCCTTTTCTGCTGAATTTTTCAGCTATATTCAGCTAGTTTGCTTGGTCAACCTTCTACTTTTCCCAGGCCAGCTAGTGCCTAGACCGCGTTTAGACCGCGCTTAGACCGCGTTTAGACCGCGCTTAGACCGCGTTTAGACCGTGTTTAGACCGCGTTTTGCTAAGCTTTCCCATAAACTTGGCTGGGGCGACCGTGGGGCCTTATGTGCGACGGTTCGCAACGATCACGTTTCGACTTCCGTGACGCTTTAATAGCGCTAAGTATGGCGCAGGCGCGCAGTGGAGCTCACTCGCACTCGCTTGATTTATGGCCCCAGCCGGGGCAACACACGTCCACGGCAGGGCCCATAAGCGGCTGCAAATGAGCTGCTTTGAGCAAAATCTTCTATGTAAATGCTTGCCAGCTGATGCTGTAATGTTTCCCAGAAATCTGACGCGTTCGTCTCGCGGGGATCTAAGCAGTGGCCCGGCATGCAGGCAGCTGCTGCTAATTGAGGCTGCCTCTAAGCCAGCCTTAGAGCCTTTCGACCGACGCACAGTGGGTCCGATGCGCGTCGCGATTGCCAACACACCAGCAGAGTGGCTTTGAACCGAACCGGTTCGAGCAATAGGTTATCCGAACCGAAACTAAGTCAGCCTGGAATTCCAATTTATTGCTAACGAAGTTCAAGGTTCGTTACCCCAAGAAATAGGAATAATAAATTGGGGCTTAGATCAAAACCTTGGTTCATAGATGTGGGGAAAAGGATTCACCGAACCTAGCCTAGGCAGCCTGGAAATCCAATTTGTTTTTAACGAAGTTCAGGGTAGGAAATTCAGAAGTAGCAATAATAAATTAAGACTTGTATTACAACCTTGCTTCATGGATGTTTGACAATAGGTTATCCGAACCGAACCTAAGGCGCTTAGATCAAAACCTTGGTTCATGGAGGTTTAAGAACAGGGTCACGAACCGAACCTAAGGCCGCTTGGAACTCCAAATTATGTGTAACAAAGTTCAGGGTTCGCACTCCCAAGAAGAAGGAATAATAAATCAAAACCTTGGTTCATAAGAAGAGGTTATACGAATCGAACCTAAGGCAGCCTGGACTTCTAATTTATTTGTAACAAAGTTCAGGGTAGGAAATTCAGAAGTAGGAATAATAAATTGGGGCTTAGATCAAAACCTTGGTTCATGGATGTTTGGAAAAGGGTTCACCGAACCGAGCTCAGGGATCTGGTTCCAGCAGGATTTGCAGCTCGCACACACTGTGTCAACTCTCTCCAAATCGAATAGGCGACACCCACTGACAGCTGGCTGCAGTTGCTCCGTTCCACTCCCCCTCCCCCCTCCCCCCCCTCCCCCCTCTGCCACCCGCCTGGAACTACGCTAAATGGCATCTTGATTATGCCGCTCGCATACAATGGACCTGCTGCTGCTGCTGCACTGCATCCCAGCGCTGTCATCAGAACCGAGTCACGTTCTCTCTCGCGTTGTAGTTGCAGTTGCATTTGTGCGACGTCTGATTGAAAAAGTTCATTGAACGTGCGGCAATTTATGTGCAACGTTTGCACTTCGTCCTCCTGCCGCTGCCCCTGCCCACCGAGGCTGCCCCTGCCCACCGAGGCTGCCCCTGCCCCGCATCGTTGTTTGTTTACTTATTTGCCAGCTTGTTGGCCATCGCCTCGGCTCGCAACGCTTCGCATCGCATCGCGTTTCTGTTTCAGTTTCGCCTGCTGCTCAGCTGTTGCCTCTTGCAGTTGCCTCTTGCCGCTTGCCTCTTGCCGCTTGCCTCTTGGCTGTGGCAGTTGCACATGCGCAGCAGACAGCACTCGTTGCTGCCGTCTGTTGCTGCCTTTGTTCTGCGAAAATATGTTGCATTGCTTTTTTTCTGCGCATACCCTAGAGCCATAAAATGTGTGCAAAGAGAGGGGCATATCAAAGTTGCGCCATAAAGAAGTCCACTCTGATGCGGGGGAGCGAAATATTTGCATTGGATCTCGGGGAGTGAGAGCTTTAGATTCAAAACCTAACTCAAAACTACTTATTTATATATATATCCTAGATCAGAAACTAGAGTCGTGTCGAACCCTCTTCAAGTGACCTCTTTCTCTCTCCCTCTCTCTCTCTCTCTTTCTTAAGAGTTATTTAAGGAACTGTTTCTGAGTTTCAGCTTTGATTTCCTTAACTTCCTTCTCTCTCTCTCTCTCTCTCTCAGCTATGATTCCCTGCTTATTCCTTTACCTCTCTCTCTCTCACTGTCCCTCTCCCTCTGACTCTCCCTCTCTCTTTCTCACTCTGTCTCTCAATCTTTTAAAACTTATTTAAGGAACTATTGCTAGGTTACAGCTCTGATTCGCTTAACTACTCCCTCTCTACCTCTCCCTATCTCACTCCCTCCCACTTTCTCTATCTCTCAGCCTCACTCTCCCTCTTTCTATCATTCTCACTATCTCGCCCTCCCTCTCTTTTTGTCTTAAAAGTTATTTAAGAAAGTTTGCCTGGATTTCAGCTTTGATTTCCTTAACTTCTCTCTCTCCCAGACTCCCTCTCTCTCTCCCTCTCTCTATCTCTCAGTCGCTCTCTCTCTCTCTCTCTTACTCTCCCTCTCCCCTCTCTCTCTCTCTTTTAAAACTTATTTCAGAAACTTTGTTCGGCTTTCAGCTATGACTTTGTACCTCTTCTCTCTCGCTTTAGTTCTCCCCACAGGGTATCTTCTAGCCAGCTTGACCTACTCTAACCAGCTAGAGCTATAAGTTAGAGCTGTAGTTATTTTAGACTGTGGTTCGGATATCACACACACACGACTAGACAGAGGTTTTATGTTGTTCAGCTCAGCTGCAAATAGGTTAGGCCCGCATTAGTATTTATCAAGCGCAACATTTATAACAAAACGATCTCATTGTGAATGGATATACAAATCGAGACATATATATATATATATAAACTTATGTATGCGTAGCTCGTGAATCCATGGAAATGGACTCCACTTAACCCACTCGACGTCTGCGTAATTTCCTGCCACAAATCATGGCTCATTCATTCTCAAAGCCAGGCTCAGCTCGAATGGGCCTTACAGACAGACATATATATATATATATATATGTGTACGGGGTCTTGACTTGTGGCATTTATTAATTTCCTTAACACCAAAAGCGGCCAAACAATTTGCCTAAAGAACTATATGTAGGCATATATAAAGAAAAAATATATATAAAATTCACATATATATTTTTCAAGCTATAACAATATTATTTTTACAACTTCCCCCAACTAGTTAAGAAAAATGTTTAACGATTTGACCGATTGCTTCTCCCTCTCCCTCTGCCACTCATTAGCTTGTTCTATGTGTTGGGCTTTTAGCATTTGTTTTTACGATCCCATTTAAATTTGTTGCCCGTTTTTGTGGCCGCAACTTTGTCGAAAAAAACTCTGGACTCTCTGTCTCTGTGTCTCTCTGTCTCCGGCTGGGGGCTAATAAGCTGCCGGCTGGCGACAACTGCCCGTTAAATGTATAACTCCAAGTCCAATTATGAAACTGTCATGCCCACTTCCTGCTTACGCCCACCAGCCCGGACCCGGGCCCATATATGGAAGTGGAAATCCATTGTGAAAATAATGCATAGATATGCCTCAGCCAAAGAGATCTTGTTTTTCTTCTTTGGCGGCAAGTGATTTCGGTTCGTGCCACAGTTTGTTGCATGCCACACACACACACACACACACACACACACTCTGGTGAATTATTGGCTGTGCACACCTGCAACCTGCAGATTGCAGACCTTCGCATCGCGTGCAGCTTGTGCACAACTCGATTGTTGTGCTTTTTGGCCAAATCAAAAAATTACAAAAACTACAAAAATAAATAAAAATAAAAATAGGTTCACCGATTTTGGTATTTGCGCACCTTGAAGCCATTTGGGCAATCGCAAGCTCGTCAATTAATTTAAATCGCTCAACATTACAGTCGGCACCTTTTTTTTTTTCGTTCCATTTTCTCATGTTCCACTTAAAGTTCATGTTAGTTAAATTACAGTTCGTCATCTCAACGCTGTGGCAACGCTGCATTTGCTTAGTTGGCAGCACTTTTCGATAAAACGCCAAGTCGATTGTGAAGTGCTTATCGTTGGCTGATTTTTTACTAAGTAACTCTCTAATAGCTTGAGTTTAATTAATGTTTCGTTATCTTAGACCAACATTTAGTCACATAAATTTAAAGATTTTCTTAAGATATTTTCGAATGGTCCACTGAGAGTTACTCGGAGCTAATCTTACAAAAAATGGGCAGCACTTTATCAGCGACTCAAGACGGAGACCTGGCAGCACTTTTCGATAAAATGCTAACTCGATTCGTGTCTAATAGCTTGAGTTTAATTATTCGTTTGTTATCTTAGCCTTAAATTTAGTCATATAAATTTAGAGATTTTCTTACGATATCTTCTAATGCTCCACCTAAAGTTACAGTTATTTTCTGTAGATAATGCGCAACTTTGGCAGCACCGCATTTGTTTACGTTGGCAGCACTTTGCTAGCTGTTCGATTAATCATCTAACAGACAGTGTCTATCACATCTATTGAAGACTGGGAAATAATCTAACAACAAATGGGCAGCACTTTACAACCGAGTCAAGACAGAGGCTTGTGTAAGCTAACTTAATAATCAAATTGATAGTGTGGCCGTCTATCACAAATATTTAGGACTCGGAGTTAATATTACAACGAAAAAAATGGGCAGTACTTTGCCAGCGACTCAAGACAGAGACTTGTGTTAACTAATTAATAGTTATCGACAGCTGTTCGATTGAAAATCAAATCGGTAGTGTGACCGTCTATCACATCTATTAACGACTCGAAGCTTAACAAAAAATGGGCAGCACTTTACAACAGACTCAAGACAGAGACTTGTGTAAACTAACTGATTATTATCGGTAGCTGTTCGATAAATAATCAAATCGGTAGTGTGATATCACATACATTTAAAAAAATGGGCAGCACTTTTCCACCGTGTGTAAACTAATTGATAGTTATTGTTAGATAAAGTAAGCTTTTTAATTGTGCTAAAATCTTATACCCTGTGTCTTTTAGTTAATTATATGACAGCTGCTTTCTTAAATGTATTGTTGATAATTACAATCTTTGGTTGTTGTTAACATTTGCTTACACACACACACACACACACACACACACACACACACACACACAACATTTAGACACACTTATTACCCATACTTTGCTTTGGTTTCATTGGACTTCTATTGATATTCGCACACACACCCACACACACACACCCATACATGCACACACACTTTTAGCACTTTTCGCAAAATATCCATGCACTGCTTTTTGTTTCTCCGGGCTTATCTCAGCTTAGCTATCGTTGCCATATTAGCCAAAAGAAAAACAAAAATGCATTTTGTTGTTCAGTTTGCGTTTTCTTTTTGTTGTTTTTGCAGGAATTGTTGGAAAAGCGCATGATTGAGATCGAAGGCGCGCTGCTGCGTTTGCAGGAGCAGTTCCAAAAAGTGAGTATCCCAACAATATTCAAAAAAACAGACCACGACAATATGCAGCGTTGCCAGAGCTTAACGATTTTAATTTCCTGTGCGGTCAGAAATGTGGGGCAAGGGTTGACAGGGTGTTCAAGGCTGGCCAAGCGTCTGAACTCAAGTATTATGTATTCAAATTGGTTCACATGGAAATTGTGACCATTCGACCCTTCCCGCTGTCTTGCCTGTAGGCGTTGCCATATGGGGTCATTAATTTTGCCTTGTGGTTTATGCGGTCAACTTGGCTGGGTTTGGGGAGCGACAACCTATTGCTTGGTCAGCAGCAAGGTCGTCTCGCTTTGGGCCACAGTAATTAAAAGTTACAAGCTTTAATTACAAATGAAATCATCAAAACATGTCAGCTCTGTGCGTAGAATCAAGTTTCCGGAATCGCCTTTACATTTGTGCCTCCAACTTGGCTCTGACTTCGGGTCTAACTGGCCAGCTAGGTTGACTTTTTCCCCCCTTCTTCCTCCGGCTAGCCCCACTTCATTTTAACTTCTTTGTACCCTTTTTCTTTGGATGAACACCTTTTCTGCACATCAACTCTCGACAAGAGAAATCTCTATCTAAATGGCGCATCTTGACTCATCTTTTCGGGGCGGCAGTTTTACGAGCTAGGCATACGCATTTCCGGCTTTAGGTAATTGAATTTGATAACATGGCCCAAATAAATGGCCAACGAGCTAGTACGGAGTTTATCGTGTGAAAAGGCGCAGCAGGCGGCCACACAGAGTCATCGCTAGCTTCTGCTGCTGCTCCTCCTGCTCCTGGCCAATGATTTTTGCTGATGCCCGGCCACAGGAAGTCCCGGAGACAAAAACTGCCAGCAGCCTACTCCCCCCTCCTCCCCCCCTCCCCCTCTAACTACTTCATTGTGGGCGTGGCCGTTGGTTTTTGCCTGTTCGCTGATTTTCTATGCTCTGCTTTTTCGGGCTGGCAAAAGCGCAAATTTACGAGCCATGGCAATGGCTCAGCCGGCGCTCCTCTCCCCATTCTCCCGCTCCCTCCGCCTAGCTCTACCCACACTTTAACTACAGCCTCGTTATCGCTGCGCCAAGCGGGTCGCCTTCGCCTCCAACTCCGCCCTCGCCTTTTGAGCTCATGCATGGGAATCCGATTACGTTGCCCGTATGCGAATTCTTATGCCAAATACTCTTCCTGAGAAGGTTAGTACGAAAGAGAGACCCTTTAGAGTCTACGTATTCTTGATTAAAAGTCGAACCGAATCGGAGCTCTATATTATAGCTATATCTTAAAGGGGTCATGGGAATATTTGGTCGAAAAATATGTTTATATATGTTGAACTTTTTTGTTTTTCAAGATATCTTTAACAGACTCTACGGAGAAAGGGAGACCCCATAGAGTATACGTATTCTTCTTCAAAATCCGAGCCCAATTGCAGATCTATATTATATCTATAACATATAGATGTCATAGAAATAATCGGTCGAATAAAACATGTTTCTACATGTCGAGCTTTTTTGTTGTTCAAGATATCTTTAACAGACCCTGGATCTTTTCTAATCACATAGAAACAATTGACTCATTATTAAATATTACCCAATTATCAGAAATAAATTGCAAATTTCTCATGACTCGCAAGGGTATCTCCTCTTCGACCAACCCATTTACAATTTTTACCACTTGGTTTTTCTTTCTTCACGTTTTTTTTTGTTTCTTAGTTCCACTTCGACATATGTTATAACTGAAAAGGGTATCTCCTCTTCGACCAACCCAGCTACAATTTGGTTTCCACTTGGTTTTTCTTTCTTCACATTTTGTTTTTTCGTTCCTTGGTTCCAGTTCGACATTTGGTGGTCGCATGAGATACATGAGCTACCGTTTCCTCGACGTCTGCTGCTCGACAATATTTCTGCACTTTATCTGTCTGTAAATAACGATTAACTATGTTGCTGCCAGCTCCCAGTTCCAGCTCCAACTTCCAGTTCCCAACTCCATGCGACGTTGTCGCCCATTGCCACCGTCCTTTGGTTTCACTTAGACGTAGTTTTGGCGTCTGTCTCCTGCCTTCCGCCTCATGTTGCCTGTGGCACGCCCGCTGGGTGTGTGCTTTATTGTTATTGGCATATCACTGGCTCGACGAGGAGCAGAAGGAGGAGCTGGAGTAGGAGGCAAGTGGCAATGACAAGTCGGCCGCCCCAAAAAGTGTGAATGTTGCAATATGTTGAGAAGCGCAGAGCTTTGCTGGCCATGTGGCATGCAATAAATGCTACGATTCAATGAATATCCATCTTATGATTCGCCATGCTCTTATCAACATCATCATCATCATCATCATCATCATCTGTTTCTAATTTGGGCAAGTTGCTGTCAGAGAAGGGAAGGGGAGGAACAGCGGGGGGGAGGGTTGGTTAAAGCACTTTGTGCAAGTACTCGCATTACTTCTAGTCAAGCCGTAATTGATTCGCATCCGATTACAGCGCGCATATAAATATATCTATATATATTTATCCCCTATATATATTTCATACATCAAATGCAACATTATCAATTGATTGGCTGCACAGACCGCAAATATTCTTTGGCCACAAACTCAATTTTATCCAAAACAAATGATGATTTATTGATTATTAATAATGTGCAATGGGCCAAAGCAAATTGTTGTTGCTCGCAATTTGTATGAATTTGAAATAGTTGCCAGTCCCTTTACTTTATTTTGGTTTATATTGATTTAAATGGAATATTGGGACTAAGTCCTTTAGAACTCTTATCAATATCGATTAAAATCGAATTTAAAACTTGGTTTGATTTTAGCCACAGCTCGAAGATTATCAGAATTTAACACACAAAACTTCTTCTATAAGTTCTCTTTTAGTTTATACAAATTAAAAAATATTTCCCTGGCCATCTCTCCCTATTTGCCCTTAAAATTAAAAGTAAAGAAAGTACAGTCTTGCGCTTTGGTATATACACACAGTTGGGTGTCATACATAAGCTATGAAAATTTCAATAAAATCGGACCATAAGCACCGAAGTTATTCAAAATTGCCTTCCCCAAACAAGTAGAAATTGAGAAGAATTAGCTGACAGCTTTGCGTTGACTTAGGGTATCTCCTAGCTGGGCATGCCCGATTAGAGCACTCTTGATTTTTGGACTAGCTTGAAGTTTTTCCATCTGATTGCATTTTTGATAAATCCGAGCTAGAAATAGTCTCTTAAACATGCTCATGGAAAGGAAGTAGAAAGAAAGAAGTTATTTATAGAGTATAGAAATTGATACTAGATATAAAGAGTGTTAAGTAGTTAGGATAAAGAGATGGAAAATCAGCAACCCGGTGGGGTAAATTTAAAGCCCGTCCGGCAATCTATGCCCCTACTCATAGCTGGGAATAGTCGGTGAGTTGCCGAGGTTATCCTAAAGGGAGGTATCCCCTCAACCTTAAGCTTAAATTTCTAAATCTTATTTCTAGCTTAAACTTCTATTTGAGTTCGCCCAAGAAAATGATTTAAGTAATTGGCATTGCCCTGGCAAACAGTCAGCTTTTTTGCTTTCTGCTTTTTGCTACTTCGATGAGCTCGAACCTCAACCCGCAGGTTTTTGTTGCATGGTTCAACCCCAAAGCGCTCATTGTGATCTCCTCCTCGCTCATTGTGACTGCAGAAGCTTGGCTAAATAATTCGCTTTGGACTCGACTCGTTGCCATGGACAACTTGAAAGTTTAGCAGCTCGGGACGAGCTCTTAACCCAACTCAAAATGCTGACAGCTCTTCTTCTTTCTCCGGGTTGCAGCTGAGACCTGAGGGAATCCCGAGCCGAGCTCCTCCCAAGCTGGCTCATGTGACATTTAATCCCTTCGCACAATTGGGCATGGAAATCGCACTCAAATATTTAGCCATGGAATTAGAAATGTAAGAAATGTGTAAACAAAATAGCCAACGAGTGTCAGAGAAAAAGTGACTCGGATTTGTGTGTGCTTGTTTTTCACTCTTCTGTGTGTACTTTTCATCAGCGATAAATCAACAGTGGAAAATGCAAACGGCGCATTTTCCCCTTTTCTTTCAGCCGGTTCCCAAATATTGGCCATTTGCTAATGAAGTCGACTGAAGGCAGAAGAAAAAAAACAACAGTCCAAGCCAAAATTTGCTCGCCAATTTATTAGATGTGGGCCATCCCCGCTCCCTTCTATCCGCCCCCCTTGGCTGCATTTGGTCGCCTCATGCGCCAGCACGCGCTCTCCTCTTGGCCACGCCCTCACTTGGCAACAATAGCCAAGTTTTGGCCATCAGCACGTGCTCAATTTTTAATTCCAATGCAGAGCAGCCCCGACCAAGGTTCCCAAACCCATTGAAAATCTGCGCCTTAATAAGCTGAGTTGCATGCAGCTTGTGGCAGGAGGAGGAGCAGGAGTAGGAGGAGGGAAGGAGGAGTGGCTGTGGGGATTGAGAGGCAGCCAGAATTGAAAAGAATATCAAACTGTCACTGTCAAGGCGACGACCGACCGACAGACCGAGCAACCGACCGACCGGTCGACCGACCGACCGACAGACCGAGCACCCGGTCGACCGACAGACCGGCCGACGGACGGACTTGGTCGCTGGGCGCAGCAGTTGGTTACCCTCTGGGAGGCTGAGACTTCAGCTCGAGTGGCACTTGGTCGCTTACAAGAGCTTTGAGGCGGGCGGCAGAAGTCGCAACATGAGCACTTCTTTTATATTAACAACAACGTGCCGCAGCATCATGATCAACAGCTTCATCATCATCATCATCATCATCATCGTGGTCGTCGTCGTCGTCGTCGACGTTGGAACTTGGAATTGCTAATAATTTTTGTGACAAGCGTTTTGATGGCTCACTCACTCGGAAATGAAGGCGCCGCGCCAGCGGCTACAACCAGTTCCAGTTCCAGCGCCAGTCCCAGTCCGAGATTCTCTGCTCCAGTAGTAACTCCTTCCACTCCTCCTCCTCCTCCTCCTCCTCCTCCTCCAAGGCGCCCCATGGTGTGCGGCACTTG